AGGACTCCATACAGCAGCCTTCCATCTCCAATGCTTCCCCACAATACGACAGGACCCATCAGTGAACAGGGCATATTTCTTTCATTCTCTGGTAACTGGTTGTACAGTGGGGCTTCTTCAGCACGACCCACCTCCTCCTCTGATGATATCCCAAAGTATTTGCCTTCTGGCCAGTCCATGATCACTTCCAGTATATTCCTGGGCGACTGGGGTTTCCTATTCGAGCCCGCTGAGTAATCAGTGCAACCCACTTGCTCCATGTAGCATCAGTTGCATGATGCATAGAAGAGACCCTTCCCTTGAACATCCAGCCTAGTACCGGCAATCGGGGTGCTAGGAGGAGCTGCGCTTCAGTACCAACCACCTCCGAAGCAGATCGAACTCCTTCATATGCTGCCAATATCTCCTTTCCAGTTGGAGTATAGCGGGCCTCAGATCCTCTGTATCCCCGACTCCAAAACCCCAGGGGCCGACCTCGAGTTTCCCCAGGTTCTTTCTGCCAGAGGCTCCAGGTGGGGCCGTTCTCCCCGGCTGCAGTGTAGAGCACATTCTTTACATCTGGTCCTGTTCGAACTGGCCCAAGGGCTACTGCATGGACTATTTCCTGCTTGATTTGTTCAAAGGCTCGTCGTTGTTCCGGGCCCCATTCAAACTCATTCCTCTTACGGGTTACTTGGTAGAGCTGGGCTTACAATCAGACTGTAATTTGGGATGTGCATTCTCCAAAACCCCACAACACCTAGGAAAGTCTGTGTTTCTTTTTTGTTAGTTGGTGGAGACATAGCTGTTATTTTGTTGATCACATCCATTGGGATTTGACGACGTCCATCTTGCTATTTTATTCCTAAAAACTGGATCTCTCGTGCAGGTCCTTTGACTTTATTTTGTTTTATGGCAAAACCGGCTTTCAGAAGGATTTGGACTATTTTCTTCCCTTTCTCGAAAACTTCCTCTGCTGTGTCACCCCACACAATAATGTCATCGATGTACTGCAGGTGTTCAGGAGCTTCCCCCTGCTCTAGCGCAGACTGGATCAGCCCATGGCAAATGGTAGGGCTGTGTTTCCACCCCTGGGGCAGCCTATTCCAAGTATATTGGACTCCCCTCCAAGTGAAGGCAAATTGTGGCCTGCACTCTGCTGCTAGAGGGATGGAGAAAAATGCATTAGCGATATTAATTGTGGCGTACCACTTGGCTGCCTTCGATTCAAGTTCATATTGAAGTTCCAGCATGTCCGGCACTGTAGCACTCAGTGGTGGCGTCACTTCGTTCAGGCCACGATAGTCCACTGTTAGTCTCCACTCGCCATTAGACTTTCGCACTGGCCATATGGGGCTATTGAAAGGTGAATGAGCCTTGCTGATCACTCCTTGGCTCTCCAATTGACTGAATTAGCTTATGGACAGGGAATCAGGGAGTCTCGGTTAGTGCAATATTGCCGCCGGTGCACAGCTTGTGGTAGCGATTGGCACCTGCTGTTCTTCGACCCTCAGCAACCCCACAACAGAAGGGGTCCTCTGAGAGACCAGGCAAGGTAGATAATTGTTTAATGCCCTCTGTCTCTAAGGCAGCTATACCAAAAGCCCACCGGAACCCTTTTGGGTCCTTGCAATATCCTCTTCTAAGATAGTCTATGCCAAGGATACATGGAGCATCCAGGCCAGTCACAATGCGGTGCTTTTCCCACTCATTCCCAGTCAGACTCACTTCAGCCTCCAATACTAGTCAACTGCTGAGATCCCCCTGTCACTCCACAAATATAGATGGGCTCTGGTCCTTTATAGCTCGATGGCATTATAGTACATTGTGCACCGGTATCTACTAAAGCCTTATACTTCTGTGCGTGTGACGTGCCAGGCCATCGAATCCACACAGTCCAATAAACTCGATTGTCCCTTTCCTCCCCCTGGCTGGAGGCAGGGCCCCCCTAATCCTGGTCAGAATCTTCTTCGTTTCTGTGTTTGAAGGACTGTCTGCTGGAAGTTGGAGCAGCAAACTTTTCAGAGAATCCCTTTTTCCTGATTGTTTTCTTTTGCAACTCACGTACCCGTGCCTCTAGGGTCGCGGTAGATTTTCCATCCCATTTTCTCATGTCCTGTCCATGGTCTCAGTAAGTAAAACCACAGGGTGGCACGGGGTGAGTACCCACCATATCGTCTTCCTTGCGTGGATGAACACCTACCCCTGATAGCTGAGACACTGCTTTGTACAGGTGTGGAGGAGAATAATCTCTCTTCAAGTTGGTGAAACTTTTCAGAAAGTTTCTCCCAGGTGTTCTCTTTCGGTCGGTGGACACTGGTTGGTTCAGGTGGGGAGGAAGATAGATTCTCTTTAAGTTGGTGGAACTCTTCAGAAAGTTTCTCCACAGCTGAGACGCAGGCCTGTAAGGAAGAGGAGAGACTTTCTTCGTACTGCCGGAGTTGTTTAGCCACTTCATCCACTGTGGGTTCCTCATCCTCTTTCCAGGCCATTATTGCCAATGAGCTGGCATATGATGATGGAGCACTCCGTACAAACTTCCGCCACATGGGTCGTGTACACCTGACTTCATCTGGGTCTTTGGATGTTTGTCTGAGGTCTGGATCCTCATAAATCACTTCCCGTACGGCTAATTCCCTCAGGTACTGGATTCCCTTCTCCATAGTGGTCCACTTGCCTGGTAGACATAAAAGTTCTTCCTTGAAGGGATACCTTTCGCTCACAGCTGAGAGGAGATGTCTCCAGAGGCTGTTAGATTGTGCTCCATCTGCAATTGCTTTGTCAATGCCGGCGTCTCGAGCAAGGGATCCCAGCCGCTTGGCTTCCCTGCCGTCTAGTTCCACACAATTGGCTCCAGAGTCCCAGCACCGGAGCAGCCAGGTGACAAGCTGCTCACCTATACAGCGACCAAAATCTTTTCGCACATCTCGTAGCTCGCGCTTGTTCAGGCTTCGGGTAGTTACTGTTGATTTTTCGGCATCCTCATCTTCCTCCTCCTGAATCCTTGATGGCCCAGCGTCGTCGTCATCTCCATCGTCTCTATACCTAGATTTGGCAGAAGACTCTCTGCGTTCTAAACGACCTGAATCTCTATACCATTTTTTCACCTTCTCTACAGGGGCAGCTTGCACTGCTACTGCTCGTTTCTCTGACCTTGTTACAGGGTCTGCCACAGAGGTTGGAATACCCTCTGCAGGGTCAACTTGCACTGCTACAGCTCGTTTCTCTGACACGGCCACAGGAGCTGGAGCGACTGCAGGAGTTGGAGCAGCCGCAGGAACCGGAGCTGGAGCGGCTGCAGGAGCTGGAGCTGGAGCAGTTGCAGGAGCTGGGACTGGAGCGACTGCAGGAACTGGAGTTGGAGCAGTTGCAGGAACTGGGACTGGAGCAGCGGCAGGAGCTGGGACTGGAGCGGCTGCAGGAACTGGAGCTGGAGCAGTTGCAGGAACTGGAACTGGAGCAGCTGCAGGAGCTGGAGCTGGAGTGGCTGCAGGAGCTGGGACTGGAGCGGCTGCAGGAACTGGGACTGGAGCGGCTGCAGGAGCTGGGACTGGAGTGGCTGCAGAGTCCACCGTAGGGGTCACAGTGGCCGTTGGATCTGTCACAGGGCTTGGAGTGGCCGCAGGGTCTGTCACTAAGTTGATAGCAGTATCAATGGCAGCTCGATAGGCATGAGCCAGGCCCCAGCATGTTACAATGATTTGTGTTACTTTGGAACTGCCAGAATCATGACACCTTTTTTTCAAGCATTCTGCCAGTTTTTGAGGATTTTGCCATTGTTCAGGGGTGAATTTCCAAAACACTGGGGGTGCCAACTGCTCTAGATGCCTACCCATATCCTCCCATACTCCCTGCCACCCACAACTATACTGTCTCCGGGCAGATCTCCGGATGAGCTTCCTAAGTAGTTGTTTAACTTTAAGCAGAATCTGAAGTGCATTCAGGAGGCAGAACAACAAGACTATGGTGTTCTGAGTATCCCAAGAATATTCAATATCTTGGAGAGCTATTTTAACAAGCTCGGAGGATAAGAAGGTGGTAAAGGAGGAAGGCAGAGTGATCCAGGAGGATACAGGGGTGGTGAAGGAGAAAGGGAGAGTAAGCAAGTAAGAAAAAATATCTTCCCCTTTCCCCTCCACAGATTGAATCCCTAATGGAAAAAATCAATAGGTATAATTGCTAATAGTTTACAAGATACAGTTACCAAAGTACACAGTCGACGATGTTGCTGAGTAAAAATACCAAGGTTAGAGTCATGACCAGATATCTTATCGTCTCATAAGCCATTGCTACAACACTCAGTACCGTAATGATCTGAAACCAGGGCCCGGAGAGGATAAACAACATGACAGAGAGCAAATACAGAAAATAATGTACTATAATACTCAATTTGGAAAACAGGCGCAGCAGAGTTGAGATTAAAGCAATCCGCATTATGACAAGTGACTATTAAGCAGGTCCAATCCTTACACCAATTTTAGTTTAACACACTCTGGTCAGATCTGCCGTTATCTCAACCTTTCAGGCCCCACGTTGGGCGCCAAAAAGACTGTCGTGGTTTAACCTGTCCGGCAGCTAAACACCACGCAGCCGTTCACTCACCCCCCCCCCTCCCTCTCTGGGACGGGGGAGAGAAATGGAAAGTGAAGCCCATGAGTTGAGATAAAGACAGTTTAATAAGACAGGAAAATAATAATAACAAAAATAATAATAACAATAATAATAATAATACAATTGTGATAATAGGAAAGTAATAACAATATGTACAAACAAGTGATGCACAATGCAATTGCTCACCACTCGCTGATCGATGCCCAGCCTCACCCCGAGCAGTCCGGCCTCCTCCCCCGGCTAGCCACCCCTATATATTGTTTAGCATGACGTCAAATGGGATGGAATACCCCTTTGGCCAGTTTGAGTCAGCTGTTCTGGATCTGTCCCCTCCCAGCTCTTACTGCACCCCCAGCCTGCCCGTTGGGAGGACAGAGCAAAAGGCTGAGATGTCCTTGGCTTAGTATAAGCACTGCTCTGCAACAATTAAAACATCGGGGTGTTATCAGCACTCTTCTCATCCTAAGCCAAAACACAGCATTCCACCAGCTACTAGGAAGAAAATTAATTCTGTTCTAACTGAAACCAGGACAGAACCTCATGGCTGGAAGCAGCTATGTGGCACTGAAGAGGAAGGGCTGAAGCAATCTTGAGCAGTATAGCGAGAGGCTGGAGGTACCGCTATTTATTGAAAATATTATTTTTATGGATGATGCAAGCTAAGTGTGAATGTTTCCTGCCACGGAAAAAAGTAGCTCTCAAAAAAAAAAAAAAAAAAAAAAAAAAGTACAGTTGGAAGCTGTCCAATAGTCACATAACTAGGGGATTAATCACAGCCCTCCTGTCAGCTTCGTCCCGAGCGTATTTCAGAGAAGAAACCAAAACTTTTTTGCATGGAAGGGTTGTTAGGATTGTTATATATGTTCATCTGATTCGTGTCAGTATGGAACATTTCTTCCCTTTCCTCCCAGTGTCCCAGTATCCCCCTCATTATAGTCATATTATCAAATCTTCAGAAATATTCCTCAAATCCATGAGCCTATTTGCTTTTGTTATTCTGAACTCTTATTTCTATTAGTGACAGCCTTTTTTGTCTTCTTTGTGGTTGACTTAGCACTGCTATAGATGTGACCGGAGTGTCCCTATGAATGGCCTGTGAGGAATGTTTTAACTACTCCTGAAGTGTCAATAAGAGAGCTATTTGTGTTTGTATGTTCTTTCTTGTTCCTTCGCCATTTGCCGAGGCGATCGGCTCCGGGGCAGACGCGTTCTGCAGCGGAGCGGGGGATCGGGCCAGGCAGGGCTCATTTTCTGGCATCGAGCCGACTTCAGGGAGCCGCCAGGAGCCGGCAGCCCTCGTGAGGGAGGCTGACGAGGCGAAGGCGGAGCCAGCAGCGCCCCCTCCCCGGCCGTTCAAAAGCAGCCCCTAGGGAGCGCGGCGACCAGGGCGTGGCGCCTCAGAAGGGAGTGGCGCGGCAGTTAGTGTGGCAGTTCGCGCAGGCAGGGCGAAGAGCAACCCCCTACCCAGACGAACACCTCTTAACGACAGGCGTTAGCTAGACGATAATGGTCTCCACCAGGCACGGTGCGCTCTCCAGGAAGTCGGTACACACCCAGACCGACTGCCCGTTAAAGAATGCAGCGGTTCAGGTCACTGGATGCAGGGAGTGTCAGAGCCTGCTGCTGCCATCGGCGGGAGGCAGAGACACTGCGTGCGTGAGGTGTGAACAGGTGGATGACCTGGTCCGCATGGTGGCGGAGCTCAAGGAGGAGGTGGCGAGGTTGAGGGATATCAGGGAGTGTGAGCGGGAGATAGACTTGTGGAGTAACTCCCTGCAGGGCCTCAAGGAGAGGTACCGGGGTGAGACACTCCAAATGGGGGTAGACCCCCTGCCCTGTCGCTGTCGGGCAGAGGGAGGGGACCTAAGAGTTGAGGAGGAATGGAAACAGGTCCCTGCTCGACATGGCAGGCGATGCCCTCCCCTTCCAGCCCCACCTTCCCAGGTGCCCTTACGAAACAGGTTTGAGGCCCTGGAGACTGAGAGACTGGTAGCTGAGGAAGAGGTTGCAAGTATTCCCAGGAGGATGCCTAGGGCAAGGAGGTCGACTCCACGCCTCAGGACTGCCTCCACCAAGAAAGACAGGAGGGTTATTGTTGTGGGAGACTCTACCCTTAGGGGAACAGAGGGCCCAATTTGTTGGCCTGACCCTACCCGTAGGGAAGTCTGCTGCCTCCCTGGGGCCAGGGTCAGGGATGTTGCCAGGAAGCTTCCCAACCTGGTACGCCCCTCTGATTATTATCCTTTTCTGATAGTCCAGGCGGGCAGTGACAACATTGAAGAGAGAAGCCTGAAGGCTATCAAATGAGACTTTAGGGGGCTGGGACGGTTAGTGGACGGAGCAGGAGTGCAGGTGGTGTTTTCATTCATCCCTATGGTAGCAGGGAGGGGTACGGAGAGGACACGGAAAGCCCACCTGTTAAACACGTGGCTCCTGGGCTGGTGCCAACGCAGAAATCTTGGGTTTTTCGACCATGGGGCAGTTTACTCAGCACCTGGCCTGATGGCCGTAGACGGGTCCCTATCCTTTAGGGGAAAAAGGATCCTTGGCCAGGAGCTGGCGGGGCTCATTGATAGGGCTTTAAACTAGGTAAGAAGGGGGATGGGGCTGAAGCAAGGATTGTTGGGGCTGTGCCAGGGGGAGCAATGGCAAGGCCGGAGGATAAGGTAAAGGCCCAGCTGAAGTGCATCTACACCAATGCATGCAGCATGGGTAACAAACAGGAGGAGCTGGAAGCCATCGTGCAGCGGGCAGGCTACGACTTGGTTGCCATCACGGAGACGTGGTGGGACCAGTCTCATGACTGGAGTGCTAAAATGCCTAGCTATAAGCTCTTCAGAAGGGACAGGTAGCACAGAAGGGGTGGTGGTGTGGCTCTCTATATTAGAGAGTCTTTCGATGTTGTAGAACTCGAGGCTAGGAATGACAAGGTCGAGTCCCTTTGGGTTAGGATCGGCAGGGACAACAAGGCTAGTGTCCTGGTCGGGGTCTGCTATAGACCGCCGAACCAGGATGAGGAGACGGATGAGGAGTTCTACAGGCAGCTGACAGAAGTTGCGAAATCTTCAGCGCTTGTACTTGTGGGGGAGTTCAACTTCCCTGACATATCCTGGAAGCACAACACAGCCTAGAGAAAGCAGTCTAGGAGGTTTCTGGAGAAAGTGGAAGATAGCTTCCTGACGCAGCTGATTAGTGAACCTACCAGGGGTGGTGCCCCGCTAGACCTTCTCTTCACAAACAGAGAAGGACTGGTGGAGGATGTGATTGTCGGGAGCTGTCTTGGGCAGAGTGACCATGAAATGGTGGAGTTCACTATTCTTGGCGAGGCCAGGAAGGGAACCAGTAAAACCACTGTATTGGACTTTCGGAGGGCTGACTTTGGGCTGCTCAGTACACTAGTTGGTGGAGTTCCTTGGGAGGCGGTTCTGAAGGGCAGAGGGGTCCAGGAAGGCTGGGCACTCTTCAAGAGGGAAATCCTAATGGCGCAGGAGCGGTCTGTCCCCATGTGCCCAAAGATCAGCCAGCGGGGAAGAAGACCAGCCTGGCTCAACAGAGAACTGTGGCTTGAGCTTAGGAGAAAAAAGAGGGTTTATAATCTTTGGAAAAGTGGGCAGGCCACTAGGGAGGACTATAAGGATGTTGCGAGGCTGTGCAGGGACACGATTAGAAAGGCCAAAGCTCATCTGGAGCTCAATCTGGCTACTGCCATTAAAGATAACAAAAAACGTTTTTATAAATACATCAACACAAAAAGGAGGACTAAGGAGAATCTCCATCCTTTACTGGATGAGGGGGGAAACTTAGTTACAAGAGATGAGGAAAAGGCGGAGGTGCTCAATGCCTTCTTTGCCTCAGTCTTTAGCGGCAATACCGGTTGTTCTCTGGATACCCAGTACCCTGAGCTGGTGGAAGGGGATGGGGAGCAGGATGCGGCCCTCACCATCCATGAAGAACTGGTTGGTGACCTGCTACGGCACTTGGATGTGCACAAGTCGATGGGGCCGGATGGGATCCACCCAAGGGTACTGAGAGAACTGGCAGAGGAGCTGGCCAAGCCCCTATCCATCATTTATCAGCAGTCCTGGCTATCAGGGGAGGTCCCAGTTGACTGGTGGCTAGCAAATGTGACGCCCATCTACAAGAAGGGCCGGAGGGCAGACCCGGGGAACTACAGGCCTGTCAGTTTGACCTCATTACCAGGGAAGCTCATGGAGCAGATCCTCTTGAGAGTCATCGTGTGGCACTTGAAGGGCAAGCAGGCGATCAGGCCCAGTCCATGGGTTTATGGAAGGCAGATCCTGCTTGACGAACCTGATCTCCTTCTATGACAAAGTGACGCGCTGGGTGGACGAGGGAAAGGCTGTGGATGTGGTCTACCTTGACTTCAGCAAGGCTTTTGACACCGTCTCCCACAGCATTCTCCTCAAGAAACTGGCTGCTCTTGGCTTGGACTGGCACACGCTTCGTTGGGTTAGAAACTGGCTGGATAGCCGGGCCCAAAGAGTTGTGGTAAATGGAGTCAAGTCCAGTTGGAGGCCAGTCACTAGTGGCGTCCCCCAGGGCTTGGTGCTGGGGCCGGTCCTCTTTAACATCTTCATCAATGATCTGGATGAGGGCATTGAGTGCACCCTCAGTAAGTTTGCAGATGACACCAAGTTAGGTGCGTGTGTCGATCTGCTCAAGGGTAGGAAGGCTCTGCAGGAGGATCTGGATAGGCTGCACTGATGGGCTGAGGTCAACTGCATGAAGTTTAACAAGGCCAAGTGCTGGGTCCTGCACCTGGGGCGCAATAACCCCAAGCAGAGCTACAGGCTGGGAGATGAGTGGTTGGAGAGCTGCCAGGCAGAGAAGGACCTGGGAGTGATGGTGGACAGTCGGCTGAATATGAGCCAGCAGTGTGCTCAGGTGGCCAAGAAGGCCAACGGCATCCTGGCTTGTATCAGAAACACTGTGACCAGCAGGGCTAGGGAGGTGATCGTCCCCCTGTACTCGGCTCTGGTGAGGCCGCACCTCGAGTACTGTGTTCAGTTTTGGGCCCCTCGCTACAAGAAGGACATCGAGGTGCTTGAGCGGGTCCAAAGAAGGGCGACGAAGCTGGTGAGGGGCCTGGAGAACAAGTCCTATGAGGAGCGGCTGAAGGAGCTGGGCTTGTTCAGCCTGGAGAAGAGGAGGCTCAGGGGTGACCTTATCGCTCTCTACAGGTACCTTAAAGGAGGCTGTAGAGAGGTGAGGGTTGGCCTGTTCTCCCACGTGCCTGGTGACAGGACGAGGGGGAATGGGCTTAAGTTGCGCCAGGGGAGTTTTAGGTTAGATGTTAGGAAGAACTTCTTTACCGAAAGGGTTGTTAGGCACTGGAACAGGCTGCCCAGGGAAGTGGTGGAGTCACCATCCCTGGAAGTCTTCAAAATACGTTTAGATGTAGAGCTTAGGGATATGGTTTAGTGGGGACTGTTAGTGTTAGGTCAGAGGTTGGACTCGATGATCTTGAGGTCTCTTCCAACCTAGAAATTCTGTGATTCTGTGATTGCTTATAAACATGACAAAGCTTTCCAAACCACAGAATCACAGAATCACTCAGGCTGGAAAAGACCTCCAGGAACATCTGGTCCAAGCATCCCCCTACCACCAATGTCACCCACTAAACCATGACCCTAAATCTTCACGGATCCCCTGACCACGACTTTAGGGAAGACAATGAACCACGCAGCACACCTCAGAGTGGGAACTGGTCTTTTTTAATGAGAGGACCGAACTCTATTTCCATGAAATAAGAAACTGCCGCATGCATCACCGTTTCCCTCCTCCTCCCAGCACTGAAAGCCTCAGCTCGACTTCTTTTTCCTGTGTCTCAGGCAGCAAGACGTCCTCCTGCAGTCCTCAGGGTGCACCTCCCTCTCTCCTTTAGCACACATCCTGGAACAATACCCATTGCAGCTCTTTTTTGACTGTTTTTTTCCTGTAGAAAGAAAGAGAGTTAAGTCTGTGTTTGCTATTTCTTCGTGGTCAGTGGCACAGAAAGTCCACCACCTCGCAGGAAACTGTCTCCTTACAACAAAGCACCCACACCCAAACCGATCATTAGGAACGGGCCCTGGCCATGGTTGGTCCTTGTCTCAGGATGGTTTGGGTCCGTGCTATTTGGCCAAGAGCAAAACTGATAATTGAAAGGCTTGGAAGATTTAATTTCAGTGTCAAGTCCAGGCTTCAGAGATGGCACTGCTGAAGTTATTAGAATAGCCATAACCATCCAGGTTCATAAATTGAAATTCAGCTTCAGATGAGCAGATTTGCTCTGCCTGCATTCATTTGTCTCCAGTGACTGTGATGGGACTCAGTTCACATGAAGACACCCTCAGATGGTGGATGTCTAAATCTAGGCCAGTGTGATTCAGCAGCTGGTCTCCTTCCCAAAATCTGGTGAGCCAAACCCACCCAAAACCTCTATATGACCCTCCCCACCTGCACCTATTTCCCTGGAAAAGTCTTCGTTACCTTCCTTCCTTTATGGTTCATTCATTTCTTCTCCACGTAATGTGCCACCTTACCTGGGGTGGCCATCAGGGCCATCAGGAAAACAGCAAACACAACATAGATGATCTTCATGCCTGGATCTCCACCGGGATCACAGCAGGTCTGGGATGCAGCCTGGCCGAGGGAGCTTGAATCTGCTGCTAAAAATAAGGCTGGAAATCCCAATATTTATAGCCATTTCGTGGCAGAAAGGACAGCGTTAAGGAGGGGCGTGACTCTGCTGTTGTCCAAGGACACGTTGTTTGCTGCTCCGTGGGATATCGTGTCACTCCAACCCAGTGGCCCTCCGACAATGAGACATCCACCCTGTGCCCATTTGTCACGGGGTGTTGAAGGCATCTCGCGTGGCCTCTGCAGGCGTCTCTCCTTTCGTGGCCGGGCTCCTCTCCATCTCGGTGATGATGCTCTTATCATGGCCAATTGTCACTACCAATCCCAGGGTACATGTCTTGGGATGGAGAGGTCACAGGGACAGGTCTGAGAGTGCTTCTGCCCTTCCAGAACAGACACCTGAGAGGACTGGTGCTACACAAGCCAATGCCACCACGTACCTTCTCTTTTTATGTCAAAACCTAGCCCCTCTGCTAGGAGCCAACATACTGTGGCAATGGACAGGCAAGTTTTTATAGAGTTGAAATATCTTTCCTGATAGATATAAATATAAATATCTTTCCAGAACTCTGGCACACTGAAGGTGAGGCCACCAGTCTCATTGTCAGGGGCTTAATTCACTTTCCTGAACACTGACAGCACCATTCCCCAGGTTCACCCTACTCATCAACCACGTGCAAGAGACTTGGAGGTCTCTTCCTGCAGAGAGAGAAAATAGCAGCTCAGTCCTTGTCTCTTATTCTCTTCAGTCCTCTAAGAGTTGGGCTTTAAACAGAAATGGATGGAACAGAGCAAAGCACCGCCTGCAGAGGTGACCAAATGGTGGCAAGCAGAGAAATAGCAACCACAGCACCTCCAGTCCGAGCAGACACACCGTGGGCTGTGTTCCCTGGCAATGACCGAGTGTTTTGGGCTGAACAATATTGGCACTGCCTTGTGCTGTTCCCTCCAGACCTGCCTGCAAGCAGGTTAGGGCTATCTGCCCCGGAGAGCACAACCTGCAGAAGCACTCGCTCCAAGTCCATTCGCTCTAAGTGGGAGGTGAATAAACCTAGCAGAGAGATCCCACCTCATCCCCAGCCATGGCTCTAGAGGGTAATCATCTCCTGCAGCTTCCAAATCACACCTGGCAGCCACATAAAGGTGTCCCAGGCACAAAGATCCTTCTAGGTAAAGACCTAAGAGCTAAACTCTCCCTAATTTTCTTTTTAATCTCACCCAAATTGTTCCAGCCCTTCTCCATACCCATTTTTCCCCACCTGAGACCAGAAACTGACCCTCCAATCCCCCCTTATTGTACCAATACCCCAAACTGAAGAAGCTCTGGCTGGGCAGCCTGCCCAAGAAGAATTAAAAAGGCATGGTTTGAGGTGTGGGACAGACAATTTGTGCCTCTGTTGTCCACCCACCTCTGTGGGTCTGCTGGTATTTGCACAGAAAAGGGGGTATGACATGCTTACAGCAGACATTGCTGAACCACCCACATTTTTTGAGACGTCTGGAGACATCCTGTAGCCTGAAAAAAAACAGTAAGGAAACAAATTCTCCCTGGATTCTTCTCTCCAGGGGGCTGACTCAAGGGGCAGGGAGGAGAGAGGAAAAATGACAGCTTTCATCCCAAATCCCTCCCCCACTTTGGGCTGGGCTCAGGGAACCTGTCCTAGTGCTCTGCTTGGGGCCACGGGACACGAGTAAGCACACCACACACAGGAGTTACATCTTTTTGTCTCTTTTTATTTATCCAGAGGAGGGGGTGGCAGTTGAGTAGCCGCTCCCAAAGCCACCAAGCTGCCTCCTGGTCCGCGGGGGCTGCTTGCCCAGCCCTTATTTCCCCTTCCAGCCGGGCGGCAGGCAGCAGTAGAACTTGCAGTCGGAGGACAGGGACCACACGTCCGCCTTGGAGCACTTGCTGGAGCAGTACCCGACCTTGGGGCAGTACTTCCTCACCTGCCCGTAGCCTGCAAGAGGAAAGCAGAGGGAGAGTGCTTGAGTTATGAGGGTGCCCTTTTCCCCTGTTTTCCAGCCTTTCGTCACCTCCAGAGTGAGGATACTGAGCAGGATGAGCTCCTGTTCATGGGGAGGTCCTGCTCAAGGCTGCTCTGTGACTCAGAAATCAAGTGGCAAGAGTTCCCTCTGGAAATGTGAAGCTCTCTCTTGGTTAGGAATTATCTGTCCTAAGCTCACTCCCAAACTTTTAACCTCAGTTATCCCTCCAGAAATCTTCCTGAGCTAGTCCCTTTTTCCATCCCAGTCCCTTGAACTAAATCACTGATGTACCTGACCGGGTTATAGCGATCACCTCAGACAGCGATATCTATTTTTCCAAGAGCAAAGTTGCGTGAAATAAATCCCAGCCAGTCAGCTCATCTCTCCCACTTTTCCCACTTACCTGGGGCAGCCAGGGAGATCAGCAGGAAGACGGCAAAGACGAGGCAGAGGAACCTCATGGCTGGGGCCGAGCTGGGATCTCAGCGAGGCTGGAGCGAGAAGAGCCGGAGCGAGCTCAAGAGGAGGAGGAGGAGGCGGTGTGGAGGGAGGCTGAGGCTGCGGGTATTTATCGAGCCCTCTCCTGCAGCGCAGAGGATGCCGGGGAGCCACGGGAACCTGTCCAAGACCGTGCTGTTCATGGCCGGGCACACGGTGGGGGGGAACGAGCAGCAGGACCTCCTGCGCCCAGGTGTGCTGGCAGCCGCCTCCCGGTTGCCCAATATCGGCCAATAATCCACGCGCCGCCTTTGAAGGGAGCACAAAGGAATAGGGGCTGGCAAGAGCGGGGCGGATGGGTCAGCGGGACCTTGATGGGGATCTGCAGTATAACGGGGAGGGGAGGACGAGATCGGTATCACAGAATTTCGGGGCTTTTCTCGGCCTCTGGCAGAGATGCAAGAGGGCTGAGCAGCGGGCGCGATGTGCCGATAACTCGCCCTCCATTGTCTAGACCCTTCAGCACGCAGACAGAGGGAGCCTGCTGTGAACTGCCTTGGCTTCGGGAGGGCCCAGGGCCTGTGCCTCCATTCCCACCCTCATGGGAACACAGCCTGCAAAATATCTCTAATAATTTCAGCAAACCTCATATCCATCACTTGCTGTCCCCTCTCACTCCGCCGATGGGCAGCAGCACAGGGGCTGAGAGTCTCTCCCAGGAGCCTGGATCAGCCAACTGCTTGCAGACACTTTGGTCACCATTCCCCCTGTCAAACCCTCCAGAAAATTATGTGGTTTGGGAAAAAATATGTAATCTTCGTACAAATGATGGAGGGAGGAGGTTTGGGAATCCGGGGGCTCTGAACACAGTTGCAAGGCTGAAAAGGGGAAAACTGTATGCTAAGAAATTTTAGCTTTCTGATTTTTGATTAGAATTTGGATTTTAGCTTTCTGATTTTCGATTTCTGATTGCCTGTAATAGGGCAAGAAGAGGTTAAAAGCTGGGGGCTCATTCCCGTAAAGTTAAATATGCCGGAGCTTTTCAGCTCACGAATGAAGCAGTTACTGGAGATGGATCACAAGGCTACAAAAATTGTAGAGGGCTAAGGGACATCTACGGTTCTCCAAGTCTAACCCAAGAAATGGGCGAGATGTGCTGAATCACACGTTCATAGCAAAAGTAAACAAAATACACACTTCACACTGAACGTAGCTGAAATGTTGAACACGTTGCCACCAGATGTTGGAGAAAAATATCAGACATCTTAAAAAGCACTTTATTAATTCAAGAAGCAATTGCAAATGCAAAAATTAGATACAAATCCTTATCGAAGAAGACCCTGAACCTCATGGTGCCGCAGGCTGGAGACTTTTGCTGGGCAAAAACACGCTCTTGGACTCTCTCCCATGCTGTTTCATGGCTGCTGCTTCTAACCAGCACTTTGCCTGTTTTGCGGTGTTTATTTTCTCCGTGCACGGTGTACAAAGCTGGATGGATGCACTTTCTGACAGTGGGTACGTCCTGTGTTTCACCAACCCAGCTTCTGTTTAAACTTGCAGGACAATTGGTGCTGGCTTCCCAGCACTAGGACATTGCTCGTTTGTTCCTACCCGTGATCCACTGCAACCTGAAATTTTCCTGCACGACTGCTGCGCAGACAGAAACTCCTTGTTCTGCAATCCCCAGCTAATTACTCATGTCTGGAGATGGGTAGCTCTCCCTGTTCCCTAATCGTACTTGGTTTATTATTTCTTTAGCATGAATCCTCACCCTGTCCTCTAATTTGTAGCAGTCCCTCACAACTTTTTATTTGTGAATATAGCAAGCACTGTCCCTGGATGACCGGAAAAATTATTAGGCAGGATAGCACTGGGCTCACAACAGATTTCTGATCAGATGTGGTGTGGGAAGGAATTGCTTTAGTTTCGTTTAGATATTTGCCTGTTTCCCTCAATCAGCTTCATGTTTCTTTTGAGGAGATTCCAACGAAACACCCAAATAGCTCCCAGGCTATTGCAGGGCATCAATAGGAAAGACCCTTGGAGAACCTCACTGACAAAGTGAGGATGGAGGCACCCTGAAAACCATTCCCTATGATGGATTTGATGCCCCAGTGCTGTCCGTGAGGTCTGTGCATTGCGGACAGCATCCAGGGCTGGTGCCTGACCAGAAGGACACTCAGGCTGGATTTCTGCAGCCCTGGGGAGCAAACCTGCCCCAGGCAGCTCCTGCTGGCACCGGGTCGAGCAGGGCTGCACCCGGTGGCGCTGAGCAGCCGGATCTGGAGGAGGGGGAATTGCCCCCGCGTGTCCGGGTTGGTGCAAGCGGCCGGGAGCTGGGAGGTGAAGCCCACTGGAGCATGGCCCCAGCCTCCTGGCACCTTTGGGAGACGGTCCAGCAGGTCGCAGTGACATTGCACGCGCCAGAAAGCAAACGCCGCCTCTCCGAAGATGGCTTTGCTCGAGTTCCTCCTCCCTGTTCATGTCAGGCACTGCTGTATAAAACCCAGCACCTCCAGCGTTCCTCACCGTGGCCGTCTCACACCTCTGCTTTGCTCCCGGCGTGCCGAGATCCCCACCGTCCTCCAGACATGAGGGTGCTCTGCGTGGTCTTTGCCGTGCTCCTGCTTTTCTCCATGGCCGCGCCGGGTAAGAGAGCGACGCCATCCCCGGGGCTGAGGGCGCACAGCCTCTAGCAGAACCATTTCCAAATGCTTACCTTGGGTCCCTGGGTTTTAGAGGCTCACAGCCACAAGGGATGCCCTGGAGACACCTCCTGACCTTCTCCTTTCTCACTCTTTTTGACTCTAATTCCTGCCCTCTCTTCCCCTTTCGCCCTCTGCCCACATCACCCGGTGTCTCCTGCCTCCCCTCTCCGGTCTGTGGGGTGGACGGAGGGATGCATCTCCCCCAGCTCTGGGGCTCATCCTCCCGTGGCCTCCCCCTGCTGCCTTCAGCTTTAGCAAGGACAGACAAAAACGGGCATTTTAGGACATGATTTACCCCACGCAGCCAGCAAGCTGTATAGGTCAACGTAGGGATGAACTTCCAGTGCCCAGCTCTCCACCTGGTTCAACGGGGACAGAAAACACCACTCCTTCCCTGCGAGGGTTTAAACACAAACCTTCCCCCTGCCCCAGCACAGCCAGCGAGGAGATAATTTCCAACTTTTGGGGGCTTGCTGTCCTACGGTGGAGGACATTTGCTGTTATAACCCACCTCTCTCTCCTCCCTCACAGGGTACGGGCAGAAGAAGGGCTTTTGCGCAGGGTACTGCTCCTACTCGTGTGCCAAAACGGATGAGTGGACGTTCCACCAGACCTGCGGGAAGATGTACTGCTGCATCCCCCCTCCCAAAAAGGGAAAATGATTGCAACGGAGATCCCAGCGCTGTGTTCATTGCGTGCCGGAGACGGTTTCGTTGCTTTGAAGTAAATGTGGCCAAAAGTGATTTGTGTGTGCTGTGTGGTTCATTCCCCTCCTGGGCAGGGAGCTCCAGGGGAGGTTCTGCAGCCTCCCTGGGCCACAAACGCAATGCGCCTCTGATAACCACAGACATGTGACTGCAAAATGTCAGTCTGGAAGGGAAGGGGCTTTGGGACCTGCTTAAAAACAGGGTGGTGGCAAAGGCTGGGAGAGAACGGACTGCCTGATATCCTGTCCTCCTCCTCCACACTTTTCCTGGTCCCTACCCACTCCATCACACCATAAACCTTTCACTCCAGGCTTTCTGCACGGGGATGGGGACAGGGAGTGGTCTGGTGCTGGGGGGCTCAAAGCATCCAGGCAAAAGGCAGCCAGGGAAGGCTCAGGAGCAATATCAGAGGGTGGGATGTTCGTGCCAAAAAGCAGCAGCTTCCTGACTGCCTCACGGGACAGAAAACAGCCCAGTTCCTGAGCAATCCTCTGGGAAACAGAATAAGTTTCCAGCCATGGGGCCTTTCAAACCCAGAAAAAGGCTCCCACACTGGTGTTTGTCAGGTTAGGCGATGATGAAGGAAACTCCCTCGCAGAAAACTTGGTTAATTTAGGATTAAAAGAAAGAAAGTCAGCTTAATTTTTTCCGTGTGTAACCTGAGCTGCTCCAACTGCTACTACTAATAACTCGGGTAAAAACAAGCCACATCAGGAGATTTTTTTGGGGGAGGGGTTGAAGAAAGCAAGTAGCCTTACACTATTTAATCCACGGGACAAAGGGTCATTGTGAAACCCGATAACTTTAAAGATGCATCTCTTGACAAAGTGAGCAGGAAGCCAGGAGTCCTGACGGAGCTGTGGGATCCCATGCGATGTTTCCCCTTGCAGGAGGAGCTGCCAAGATTTCTCTTTCAGATTTCTCTTTCCAAACCAGATGGTGAGATGCTGAGCGAGAGGGGTTAACATCAGCGTGGGGCTGAGATCAGCCAGGGAAAGGCAGCAAGGAAATGTTGAGAGTGACAGGCGTTCTGCTTACCCAGTGGTTACTTACCCCAGGCAACAGGATCCAAAAAATAAAAATAAAAAAAGGGAAAAGCACCTGAAACAGCCAGCTGCTGGTGAGAAGACTGCACAGCCACATGGGGTTGGGAGTTGGAGAAAATAATAAAACTTGCAGAAGGAGGTGCTGAACAACAGCAGAAAAACAAAACAAAACAAAACAAAACAACAACAACAACAACAAAAAAAAACCCTTACTGTTTCTTTCCCATTTTTCCACAAGGAAAAAAAAAAAAAAAAAGAGTGTGAAGAAAGTGAAAAGAAAAGCTCTGTGAAAGTGAATGAGTAGCAAATGGGGTTTTGAAGAGGTCTCTCTCGCTCTGCTGCATCTCCAGCCTTCAAAATTCTCTCTGCATCTATGGAAAGTTTCTGATAGCAAGAGCTTATTCCAAATGTCCGTTGTGAGGAGATAAAAGAGCTCTCCTCTGCCTCCTGCAGAGCAGAGGGGCCCTCCAAGGGCGCTGAGCAGCAGAAGGGATGGCACGGGCTCTGCTTTGTGGCTTCCAGCCTGGAAAGGGCTGTGGTTGCAGTGCAAGGAGGGGAGGAAGGCTTCCTTCACCTTCAGGGCCCATCTCCTTTACCTGTAGATAGCTGGAGCTTGGTACATGCCACAAAAATGCTGTTTCTGTTGTGTGGAAGTGATGTTTGCCCAAGAGGTCTTCACAAAAGGGAAGCAAAAGGCCCCCATGCAACGAGCATCCAGGATCCCTTCGGAGGCAAGTCTGAGGAGCTGATGGGGGCACAAACTTGACCAGTCTCTTGGAAGAACTGTCAATAATAAATTCATTTTTGCAGGAGGCATTTTGATCACTGTTGTGCAGGATTTTATTTTGCTTTCCTGCAGGATAAGTGCACCAGACATGAACCGTAAGCTTGCAGGAAGGGCTTCAACCAGTCTTGTTTACAAAGCAGAGAGAAAGTCGTGATGAGGTCTACGAAAGGAAAAAGCCGAAATGGGAGTAGTCATGCCCTGGTGATGAGAAATCAATGGCAACATTCCAGGATTATGAGAAAAATGTTCAGCTATTGCACTGTTACAGCCAGATGTGCTTTCCAGGGCTCTTGGCACCATGAAGGCGAGCATCCAAAGAGCCACACAGTGTTGTACGTCTGGAAGGGGCTTCTGGGAGGTTCAGACTTTTGGAAGAAGGATGAAAAAAGAGCACAACGTCTTAGAAAAGTACCCCCCAGCATCACACCTTTCACAGCACGGCATTGGCAGCGTGTTACCTGCTTGGGTGTGAAGGCGCAAGGGTTGGGTAGGAAGCCACAATCCTGCCTACCAGGATCTGGTGCGGAGATCTCAGAAACTGTGCCCAGACCTCATCTTGGAGGTGACTATATCCAGAAGGTGCTCAGAAATGAATTAATGTGTGCGTTGGGGGATGGACAGGGTGATCCTAGTTAGCACTGTGAGGTATGTTCATCTGATTCATGTCAGTATGGAACAATGCTAGGGCCGCGTGGTATGATGGATGTGACCTTCTGTCTTACATACCCTTGTATAAGCACAAGTCTAAGAAAAACAGAGTGGTTGATGTATATAGGTCTTGTATCTTGCAAAAGAATGTTTTAGCAACTCATGTCAATAGAGAGCTTGAAGGGAAATGTATTTGTAGGCTTTTCCTTGAAGTATCTGATATCCGGGGGGTTTCAGAATAACCACTAACTATTATGACTATTGCATGGGACACTATGCAAGTCTCTGATATCTGGCCAGGAGATTAAGGAGATGGGGAGAGCTGAAGAGCAAATAAAAGACAAAGCTTGCAAGGGGACATTGCATAAGTCTCTGACATCCAGCCAAGTTGGACAAAGGAGCATAAAAATCAGCTGCTTGATGTAACTGGTGTGCGTCTTGCTGGAACAGAGACTCCCGGCGCACCCAGCGCTGTTTGCTTACCTCTATTCCTTTAAGAAAGTTTGATTTTAAATAAACTTTGATTATAGTCCTATTTTGAATACTGAGTCATTTATAAGTGTGAGTGAGTGGTGGGAACACGTCCAAGGAAAAAACAAACAAACAAAAAAAAAACAACATCTGAACATCTGGTTCAGTTTCCGTTATAAATTCTATTTATGGCAAGAAGAAGATTTAGGCCCTGAAAAGCACTTTCTGTTGGAGAAGTAGCTGAATACTTATAAAGTCTAAATACTTATAAAGCCTTACGAAGTCAGCGTGGATAAATTACAGGTGTAGAGGGGGTTTGTACATTTACAGGGAGAAAACACCAGTTAGAGGCTCACCAGCCTAGCAGGAGACAAAGCCCTTACAAGCAATTGTTCAGTTACTTCTTCTGCTATGCAAAATAACACTTGGTGCTGGCTAACACACTGGGTTTAGCTCAAAGTTTTACCCTGGGTGTGGTGGTTTTACCACGCTCTGCAGCATTCATCAGGTTCCCACCTCTGCAGGAGCAACAGGGGATGCAAAGGCCGCTATTCCTGTGCTTAATTTCAATGAGGGAGCCACATAAAAATGGGGGAAATGTTAAAAAGAAGACAAAAGGGACAGCTAAAGGAGTTAAATCCTTGCAAACAGATTATTTGCAGGCACCCTGGGAGCTGTTGAAGGCCACTGTATTGGAGACTCAGAGAGAATGTATGACACCTATTAAAGAAAAGCCCCGAGAAAGAGCAAAAAGAAAAGGTCACAGCAGAACAGTGGGATGAGGGAGGTTGTTAGAAGGAAGAAGCTGAAATTGTGTCCAAACGTGGGCAACAGAAAAGATAATAAACTGTGCCTGACAACGTGTAAAACGCAATAAAGCTGCTCAGCAGAGAAGAACTTGCAAAAGGCAAAGAAACCTCCTGAAATATGTCTTTTTTTTTTTTTTCAAACATATCAGAAAAAAGAAGTGTGTAGGGCAGGAGATGGCTGAATTAGTAAAGCAGAGAAAAGTTAAGGCCACTTCGTGGAAACTAAATGAAATATTTGCGGCTGTGTTCACCTTGAGAGAAAGCAAGGAGGTCTTCATGCCAAACCTTTGTGGGAACTTGTCAAAGGATTGGTCTTAAATGAACCGGCAGTGGAAGGGAGGGAATAAACAGCAGCAAACCTCCAGCATCCAGAGAGATTTCCCCAAAAGTCCTAGAGGAACTCACGGATGCAATAGCTGCCCTACGACTGCTGCGTGTCTTAGTGATTAATGGGGATTTGCTGTGCAAAGGTTGGAGATGCTTATGTTAGGAAAAAAGAAAACTTAAAAGGGGTCCAGGACCAACAGGATGATAAGGCACGATTGTGCTAGTCCCAGATATAAGACATGGGAGAAGACAGAGGAAAATCCTGTCCTAAAAACTTGCCAGGGCTCTCTGATGGTGGCAGCAAAAAATGCCTCAAGGACTAGGAGATGGCCAGGGGGCCCAAATAGATGGAGAAGGAGGTCACGGGCAGATCCGTGGGGTGTCACTGCAGGGGCTGCAGTGGTAAATTTGGCCATAAAAGATGTGCATAAAGGGTTAGATGGAAAGATGGCAAAATTTGCTACTGGCACTGCATTGCTCAGGGTAATAAAGGTGATGGCTGCGGCAGGACCTCGCTGTTTTGAGTGTCTGGCTCATAAACCATGATGAAATCCAGCATAGGTCGATGTGGAGTGATGCACATAGGAGAAATCAGACTAATTTTATAAGTCGAATGAATGGCTCTATGTTGACTATTCCATGGCTCAGCAGAGACCAGGAAGCAAGCAATCAGCAAAGAGAGAGCAGGGAATAGCATCATCACAGGGGATAGCTTGCGAAATCTGGGGAACTGTAGCCAGAAATTTATTTAAGAGCACTTACTTAATTTTCCTGTTTCGGGCAGAAAGTGTCTGCCTTCTTCTAACGACAGCTAACATCCCTGTGCAAGAAGAGGAAAGAGTTTTAGGTGCTGAACTTTGTATGTGTCATTTTAGGCATTGGAACGGGCTGCCCAGGGAGGTGGTGGAGTCACCATCCCTGGAAGTCTTTAAAAGACGTTTAGATGTAGAGCTTAGGGATATGGTTTAGTGGGTACTGTTAGTGTTAGGTCAGAGGTTGGACTCGATGATCTTGAGGTCTCTTCCAACCTAGAAATTCTGTGATTCTGTGTGATTGTGTGATTCAGAGAGGGAAATGGGAGCCTTCAGTCTCCTCCTGGTCAGGAAGCTTCAATTGGAAAAAATTCCTGGAAGCTTCAAATTGGAAAAAAGCCCTCATGAGTCATGGTTCTTCAGACAACGTGCAGTCAACCATAAAAAAACGAAGTCCCAGCACAAAAAGTCAGATTCTGCCCCGATTGCTGTCTGGGATTGTATGTGGCTACATCTGACAGCAAAGCAGACAGGCATGCTAACACAACTTCTCGGACTAAGTAGTTTTTTTTATTATGCCTGGCACTCCTCTTTCTTTCAGGGCAGATGCACAGAGACTGTCACTACAGGAAAAGACAGATCTCTAAAATGCATCGCACCAGGCAGCATGGCATCTCCAGATTGGTGTGGCAGGTGTTTCTTGCTGCTGGGTGCAGCTTGTTTCCTTCAAAATGTCTCCACAGAAGTCATTGTATTTCACTGAAAATAAGGCGTAGAGGAAAGTGGTGGGAAAAAATAAAAAAATAAAACCATCTTACAACCAGGATCCAATCTGCTATTGTCCTGCATGTTACAGAAGCAGGGCTCAGAAGCGCACCTTTTCTCTTGGAGCTGCAATTTATGGTGCTGTTGGAATGGGAACTTAGCGTCACTTTACATGTTACTCTCACTGCCAGATCGGAAAAAGCAAGAGTTTCTCCACTTCCCAAGAATTTCTGTCCTTTCTGGCAGTGGAGCCCCATGAAAGCTTCAAACGAGACTGGTCCATAAATGACTGCATTAAAATGATGAAGTTTTAGGTGAAAAAACCGTCACTTCACCACTCTGCTCAGGCACGTTCTTTATAGTAGTCTCCGCTTTGTCACTGATGTGGTGAAAATGTGGTTTCTTTTCCAGGGCCAAGAAACATGAAAAAGGGCCTCACAGGAAGGGCACAAAGCCAGTGACACAGTTCTATTTGGAAAGTAGCTGCAGAAGGACGCGATGAGGATGGAGATAATTATTGTAACAGAAAGGAATGCTGCAAATATTCCCTTTACAGACCCTGCCAGGGCCATGCGTTGGGTTTCCATGGCAGTGCAGAAGGAGGGGTGAGAGGGCAGAGGTTTTCAGCTACCTGCTGGTCCCAAACCAGCACAGGCTGCTGTGTGCCCACGGCAGAAACCCTCCAGCAAGCCCAACCGATGCTGTTGGTGGTGCAGAGGAGCCTCTGGGAACCAGAGGGCAGGAGCAATCCACCCAGCCCTTTTCCACCCACCATTGATTAAATTATCAAAAAAGAGAGGAAAACTCCATGTGTTGAGCTCTTTTGCTATCAATTATGTGCAAAACCCACTGATGAGACACACTGCTAATGGGCTTTTTGGGCTGTGCTCAGGGGAACCATCTTAACCCTCTGCCTGGGGCCACGGGACGCGAGCAAGCACACCACACACAGGAGTTACATCTTTTTGTCTCTTTTTATTTATCCAGAGGAGGGGGTGGCAGTTGAGAAGCCGCTCCCAAAGCCACCAAGCTGCCTCCTGGTCCGCGGGGGCTGCTTGCCCAGCCCTTATTTCCCCTTCCAGCCGGGCGGCAGGCAGCAGTAGAACTTGCAGTCGGAGGACAGGGACCACACGTCCGCCTTGGAGCACTTGCTGGAGCAGTACCCGACCTTGGGGCAGTACTTCCTCACCTGCCCGTAGCCTGCAAGAGGAAAGCAGAGGGAGAGTGCTTAATAAAATAAAATAAAATAAAATAAAATAAAATAAAATAAAATAAAATAAAATAAAATAAAATAAAATAAAATAAAATAAAATAAAATAAAATAAAATAAAATAAAATAAAATAAAATAAAATAAAATAAAATAAAATAAAATAAAATAAAATAAAATAAAATAAAATAAAAATCAAGTGCCGAGCACTAGGCACCAAGGTGGGAGACAGTTTGGAAATGATGTCCCGAGTGAATGGGTACTGGGTTGGGAACCCTTCTGAGCCCAGAATTTGATTCACTGAAGAGGGAAGTGGGAAGCAGGCTGCAGGGGTATGCAGGGGAGCTGTGTTCTGGATGAGAAATACCCTGAGAGCATCCTCAGAACCAGCTTGGCACAAAAGGGGGCATTGTTGTACTGAAATAGAAACACCGCAGCCCGGCTCACCTGGACCTAGAAGACGTCAAAAATATCTAAAACACGTGAAAGTGCTCTTTGTAGTACTTTAATTGTAAAGTGAGTTTTTCTCTAAAGAGGATATCTATTTTCTAGCTGCAGGGTGCCGCTCAGTTGCCCACACACGAACACCAAGCCCCATTTAAAGCAGCCTGGGTTAACCAAGTCGTGTACATCTGCAGGAGACCAGCAGCCTACCCTAAGGATGAGATGCCTACGTGTGTGCAACTAAATTGTAGCCTTTAAAGCTGATAAAGACCCCAAGCTGTCTCTGATGGGTGGCACACTGCTGTGTGCTGCAGCCCTGACCCCCATCTGGCTCTCCCACCACTCTCCAAATTATTTTCCAGTGCAATTTGCCCTCTTACCTGGGGCGGCCAGGGAGATCAGCAGGAAGACGGCGAAGACGAGGCAGAGGAACCTCATGGCTGGGGTCGAGCCGGGATCTCAGCGAGGCTGGTGGGAGAAGAGCTGGAGTGATCCTGAGCTGGACACCGCTGTGTGGTGAGGCTGGGGATCCTCCTATTTATAGCGAGGAGAGGAGGGCTCTGGGGAGGTCCTGCTGCTTGATGGACCTCGCACGGTTCACGGCACAGCACCCTCCTCCTGCCCCTCCACCCTGCACCCAGCTATGGTGGCGAAACTCTGCCCTCTCCAGCTCCGCTATTGAAAATCGTAAGGAAATACAAGGAAAATCATTGACTGTGACAAGAACCAGCGGTGAACAGATAGGACAGATCCGCTGGGGCAGAGGGACCTGAGAGAATGCAAGATCGTTATCACAGGGTTTCGTTTCTCAACCGTGGGAGGAGAAGTGAGTTATGCAATAGGGCTGAGCAGTGGATGCAATGCTCTGATAGCTCTCCCCCCACTGCCTGGACCAGTCTCTGGACATGCTGAAAGAAAGCCAGGTGTGAGCAGCCTCAGCTTGGGAAGGACCTGGTGTCCACGTCCCCATCCCCACCACCACGGGAACCACAGGTGCAAATCCCCTCTAATTAATTTAGCAGAGACTGTGTTCAGTGCAGCTCCTTGTGTTGTCCCCACTCGTCTGGAGACACTCTTTTTAGGATGCAGATAGTCTGATCCCTGCTACGGGGGGAGCTCTGCTGTAAAAGGTTGTCTAGGGCAGTGAAACTGAAGCTGCTCACAAGGAGTTTGCAAGGCAGGAGGGCCTCAGCTCTGAGCAGCAGTGTTAGTGGGTGTTTCAGGGATGGCAAACTTACTCTCACCTTCCAGGAAAAAGGTGCTCCCAAAGAGAACTTCAGAAAAATTCACCTCCAGTGTCTGGAGGCAGTCAGAAAGGAAATCTGAGTGCTGGGATTTATGAGGATGGGCACTGAAAAAATCGGCGTGTCGCTGTACCAAACTTGAGGGGACTTCATGCTGCATACTGTGCGTGCCTCTGGTGTTCCATCTCTGCAAATACTAGGACTAAAAGTGGTACAAAGGATGGCACAGAATACTTCATCCCACATCAGCCCTGTCCTATATACAACATGGAACTGTTACTGCTGCACTTTAAGCCCACTGTTTATCGTCCAGCCCACCCTAGGCATGGGGAACATACATAATCCCCTTCCTATGTACTTTCTCTTCCAGATTTGCAGGGCATTACAGTTCCCACATATTTTTTCTCATCATCATGATGTCAGTTATTCCAGATTTTTGTTATAGATTGCATTTTCTTGGTCTGTTAATCCTCTCAGCTCTAGACTCTGTCCAATTATTCCACCTCATCTTGTAACATGGTGCTTAAACAGTGAGCAGTGCACTGCCTGGAAATTTAGCAGTCAGCAGTAACAAATGGATTGGTTTAAGTGCCTGAGCAGTGATAACCCTTAATACGTATATAAAGAAATAAGGATTTCTGCTGTTTCCATAGCAGGATGACATTGTACCATTCTGAGCACCCAGTGCAATCCCACATCTCTCCTGCAGAACTGCTGCACTGCCAGGTATTGCCTGCTCTACCTTCTCCACCAATTGTTCTCATATTTTGCAGAAAATGCAGCTCGCCAGGATTCTCCCACATGCTGCAGTCCCTTTCAGCCTGCTGTTTGCAAATCCAGTAAGCACAATCTTTATTCCATTCTGCAATTTGGTAATGAAGACCCCGGATAGTCCAGGACTCAGAACAGCCCTCTGAGATGTCCTTCTACCATCACCATGGTAACTGGAAATTTAGCAACTCGTGTTCATGGACCGTTTTGCCTTCATTTCCTTTAGGCCTGTGTCATGATCAATATGGAGGGGGAAATAAAAGAGAGAAAAAAATATTCAAATAGCTGTAAGGCCAAATGAATGTGATGAAAGTGTTGCAGAGCATCAGGTTGGGAAAGACGCTTGAAGAGACTCACTGACAAAGTGGGGATGGAGGCACCCTGAAAACCATTCCCTGTGACGGATTTGATGCCCCAGTGCTGTCCGTCAGGTCTGTACCTTGAAGACAGTGTCCAGAGCCAGTGCCTGATCAGAAGGACACCCAGGCTGGATTCATGCAGCCCGGGAGAGCAAACCTACCCCAGGCAGCTCCTGCTGCTCGAGCAAGACTGAAGACGGTGGTGCTGGGCAGCCAGAATTGCCCCCACGTATCCGAGTTGGTGGAAGTGGCCAGGAGCTGGGAGGTGAAGCCCACTGGAGCATGGCCCCAGCCTCCTGGCACCTTTGGGAGCAGGTCCAGCAGGTCGCAGTAACATTGCACGCGCCAGAAAGCAAACGCCGCCTCTCCGAAGATGGCTTTGCTTGAGTTCCTCCTCCCACCGCTCAGTTCATATCAGGAATCCATCTCTAAGTACCAAAAATGTCTTTGTTTGCGACAAGTATTGTTCTCAGTTCCTGGCATGCCAAGATCTCAGCTGCCCCCCCAGGCATGAGCATTTTCTTCACTGCTTCATTCCTCTCTCGTTTTCTCCCATGCCCACCACAACAGTTAGGAAACTAGAGAGGACAGAGAGTATTAGAAGGTGAAAACTCAAAATTACTGCCTTCAGAGTATTCATGCCTGGGCAACATGCAGAGATACAATTGAAAGACTCTTGCAAATCTCTCCTCTGCTTCTCTTTAACCCTCTTACCACAGCTTTCTCCATTCTCCCTCTTATTTGCCCTTTCCTCCCATTATTTGACACTACATGTTCATACCTTCCTAGTCCCCTTGCTCATTCTTTGCTTTTCCTGTTTGTTCTTGCCTTGATCTTTTTCTTCTTTCCCATGATCACTGCAAGGAAATAACTCTGCTCATTTCAGCAACTGGCCATTCATAAGCTTCTTAAATGAATAATTCAATTTACTTGAATTAAGCTGTGCTGAGCAGCTTCCTTTTTTCTTGACAAGCAATCGTTGTTTTATATTTTTTTTTCAGATGCATTTTATTTTACAGATATTGAATGTATATGTTCCTATAAACGCTCAACAGGGAATCCCTAATTCAAGCTATTCATATTTGAATACAAATAAACACCACCACTCATCGCTAATGTTGGCTCAGCATGAGGAGCTGCAATATTTGCATGGATTCATCTTTTCTGGATGCAAAACCAACCGCTATAATTTGAGTTAAGGCACAAGGGCTGGAAAGGATGAGCCGGTGAATCTACTGGCAGACAAAAGAAAGCAATGCTGGGGGATGCTGAGGCACTCCATGTGACAGGAGAAACAACAGAGCTGGAGAAAAGCCAGCAGAGGAGGGGAAGGATCTTTTATGGTTCTTCACAAAGCATATTTTTCATTGTATTTTTGAATCAGATACGATGTAGCCTTGATGTAATTCAGTGTATTTTTAAGCAGTTCTGGGACCGTTTGCCCTCAGGCAAATCACCCAGGCACCTTGTGCAGATATTTCATGGGGCTTATTTCTTTCCAACTTGTTCCTGGTAAGAATAGTGACCTCTGTGATCCTCGTATTGTTTACACAGGCTGCCTTTGTACCCGTAAATTAAATCTTTTCCAGAGCAGTAATAAGACATGTAGAGCCCTGCATTATTAATATAATTTTGGGCCTGTTTTCCCTTGTTCATTACTTTGCAATTAGCAATTTTTGTGACTCTTTCCCAAAATGCATAGCAGTGAACATAGACTAGGTCTAGCAACACGCCTGGTTTAGAGCATTGGGTACTGAGGACTTGTGGCAATGATAATTGTCAGATTAATTAGACTTGTATGATACTGCTCGTTAGGTGCTCCAGGAAAGATAGATGCAATGGATGCAGTTTTAGTAACTGTGTACCTCGACAGCTCTTTAAAACCAGACATAAAATATCCAGGAAGTGAAATGATGATGTTCTTTGCTGGTTTTAAGCTACAGCCCTTATATTTCACCTGTAATAAGTTACGCTGGGCACATTTACAAGGATGGTGGACGGCAGTAACGCAAATATCCAATTGTATCCTGTCCTGCCCCACTCTGCGCTGGTGCAGCCTCAGCTTGAGTACTGTGGCCTGTTTGGGGAATCACCATATAAAGAGGACACAAAACTATCAGAGAGTGACCAAAGGAGGGCTATGAAGGTGGTGAAGGGTCTGGAGGGGAAGGCGTGTGAGGAGCAGCTGAGGTGCCTTGGTTTGTTCAGCCCAGAGCAGAGCAGGCCGAGGGGAGGCCTCATGGCGGCCTGCAGCTCCCTCACGAGGGGAGCGGAGGGGCAGGCGCTGAGCTCTGCTCTCTGGGGACAGCGACAGGACCCGAGGGGACGGCATGGAGCTGGGACAGGGCAGGGTCAGGCTGGGGGTGAGGGAAAGGTTCTGCACCCAGAGGTGGTCAGGCACTGGGACAGGCTCCCCAGGGCAGTGGTCACAGCACCAAGTTGCTGGAGTTCAAGAAGTGTTTGGACAATGCTCTCAGACACAGGCTCTGGTTTTGGGTGTTGCTGTGTGGAGCCAGGAGCTGGACTTGATGGTACTTGGTGTTCCCTTCCAACTCAGGATATTCCATGAGTCTCTGATTCCATCCTATCCTATCTTGTCCCATCCCATTCCCTTTCAAAGTTGTCAGGCACCTACAAGCTTCCATGACACCCTTCTGTTGTAAACAAGTAGATAAAAATCCTCATTTAGTTCTTCCAACAATATGTGATTAATTTTTTGTGGCTTGTGGTGTCCAGAGGACCCCCCTTTTCCACTGCTCTTGGCTTACTAAATCCAGAAGAGGGATTTGGTGAAACTAGATGCCCTAGACCACAACAGCTCAGAGACTGTGCCAACCACTTAGGATCACAGCCCTGCTTAATTTAGGGTGTCCCCTAGGTATCTCAAGATGGCAACATTTACCAGTACTAAAGAGAGCAGCAGCAGTAAATATAACCAGATCTGCAGGACTTCATAAGTTGTGGAGTTGCACTCAGTGACAATGTTCCCTGGCAAAAGGCATCCACTTATGATTGAAGATCTCCAACAGATGAAGACACTACTGCTTCTGTTAATCTCACTCATAAGAACTAAGCTTTCTTTCTAAGTTTAGTCTGTCTAACTAAGAAGCAGCAGCATCTGGAGGTTATGCCTTTCTCTGTTCCGTTAAACAGCTCTCTTTGATTTTTGGTATTGTCTCCCTGTGAAAACACACCCTGAATGGAATCACTCCCTGGTGATTTGATAAGCCCCTTATCCTCCCGCAGGGTGATATTTCCTACACCTTACTATATAAATCTGCATCCTTTTTCCAAAATATATTCTTTCCAGTAGCACCAACCTCCTATATTCTTTTCAATGTGAGTCAGCAGTGAAGCCTTGCAGCAGGCAGAGGAACTGCATAATGGGCTATTATCAGCAAAAGCATGGCCATAAAAGGAAGGGAGTTTTTTCCATCTGTTTGGCACTTGAGGACTGCATCTGGAAGCCTGTGACAGTTTTGACCTCTTCAG